TGTAATTGAAACTCTTATATTTTCAAATGTCATTATGGAAAGTGACATCATTATATCCCTGTCCCTGCATCATCATTTTGCTTGAATTTCTTTTAGTTTATATACATCATTAGGAAGCATATTTGGCACGATATCATAAATCCTATAGGGGAAACCAAAGTGCTTTGCATTTCTTTCTTTTTTTTTAATTTTAGAGAGAGAGAGAGAGAGTGTGCATGAGCAGGGAAGAAGAAAAGAGGAAGGGAGAGAGACAGAGAGGGAGAGAGAGAGAGATTGACAATCCTAGGCGGGTTCCACATTCAGCATGAAGCCTGATGTGGGGCTTGATCCCATGACCCAGGGATCATGACCTGAGATGAAATCAAGAGTCAGACTCTCTAATGACTGAGCCACCCAGGTGCCCTCTATTTTTTCTAAGTGATGAATTAGTAAAACTCTTAATGGGAATTACAATGTGTGTGGTAGCCTTACTAGGATATCTTTATCAAAATTACAAGATTTAATTTGAGGGAAAAGTGATAGTAGCACAAAATAAAGTGTGTAAGATCCCACTTTATGAGCAGTCAAATATTCAGCCTACAACCAATTATTTAGAAACTGATCACATTTTTGAGATACTAAGCTCCTTTATTTTTCTTCATCCTTTGTTTCTCCTGCTTACATTTTATTCATTTCTCAACCTATCCATGTAACCTATTCTGGAAGAAAGAGGGCAAAAGGAGGAAGAAAAAAATCAGATCTGTTAATGTAGTTGTTTCTTAGCAGATGTGAAAGAAGTGGAAATTGTCATGAAAGAACCACTGTGGGTCACCTGCTCCACCAATGTGCAGCAGCTATAATTCCTTTGTCTTCCCCTGGCCTGGATAATTGAGAGCTAGCTGATATGTTTGGAAAGATGTAGAATACTGCATCTTTAAAACTATTCATCACAAATGACTGAATGATCCAACAACAATTGAAACCTTCTCTACAAAAATGTACTGAAGATTTTAAATTAAAATTTCCAATATCATTAAAGCTAAAATATTTTTAGTCATATCAAGTTATTAGCTATCTTTATCATTGCTCCTGTATTTGGTATACAATTCACTATGCCAGAGAAATATAAATCTAGGTAACTCAAAAGAAAAAGACAATTTTTATCCACATGAACAGAAAAATATCTGCACAGAAATTCAAAAATTGTACAAGGATTTAATTCAAAACATCAGGCATTATGTATTTAAATAAATATACCAAGAGAGAAAGAAGGCAGTCATGGAGCCCAAAACCTATTGAAAGACTGAATACACAAATGGGCAATGGCTAGATCATACATAAAAACAGAAGTCTAATCCCCAACTTAATAGCAATTTACCTGGGAAACCGTATCTATAATAAACAGGCCAGGAAGCCAGTCCTGTTATATAAGTTTTGCAGGAAGCCAGATTGTTACCTCCAGCAGCAATCTAGGAAGCTAAATAATAACATATGTAACAACTTAACCAAAGTTGTCAGGCCTTGAGTAACTAATAGCTTCTCTAAATTTTGTCACCACTTTCAATTTAGGACAAACCAGAGAAAGACAAATATGTACCTGTAACTAATTACACTCGATGTCCCACTTCTAATTACCTACCCTTTTATAGTTTCCCCACGCCAAAAGCCTCCAACCAAGGCATACTTGAAGCCTTCCCTTTTCTCCACTATAAAGCTTTCCCACTCTTGTGTGCCTTTGAGACTCTGCCAAAATGCAAGTGGCAGCAGCGAAGTCCCTTGCTATAACAAGCTCTGAATAAAGAGGCTTCGCTTCTCTCATTTGTTTGGTCTTCATTAATTTCCACACTATTGAGCATCTCCTACATATCCATCAATGGGGAACACACTTAGGTATCCTAAAAAGATAACCTTCACAATATTCTTAGCAGATATTTTGAAGTTTATTTATTTATTTTGAGAGAGAAGGAGAGAGACAGAGAGAGAGAGAATCCCAAGTAGGTTCTGCGCTGTCAGCACAGAGCCTGATTCAGGGCTTAATCCCACGAAAACTTGAGATCATGACCTGAGCTGAAACCAAGAGTCAGACGCTTAACTGACTGAGCCACCCAGGCACTTCTGAGTAGATTTTAAATCTTCATTTTACTGATGTACAGACCTGAAGTTTGTAGAAGTTAGATAGCTTCTCATGTTCTTCCATTTTCATCATGCTAGAGTAAGCATTTTTGGTATATTATTGTGATAAAAGTATTTGAGATAGTATTAAAAAGGTACTAACAATAACAATAATAATAACAACAACAGGTCTAAATTTGTTGGGTGTTTTTTAGCAACGCTTGCATCTGTATCTGTCAACTTGCTGGATAAATGTCAGCTTTGTAGTTTTAATTGATTCATTGCTTTAAAGTCATGACATGTATCAAAATACATACCGATTTTGAAATAAAAGCACCATAGAATAAATTACATCTATATTTTATTTGCTATAAAAAAAAACACATCAGCAGAAGTACTCAGTCAAATAGTGATTGAATCAATAGGGTTTTTCTAGATAATATGTAGAAAACGTTGTGATATATGATATTGAAAAGGAAATAAGTACAAATGAAATTTGAGTGATTCTTAAAAGAGAATAAGTATGTATTTGCCTGGCACTTTTTAAAGGGTAATTGTTTAGCAATCACATAAATTAACTACCACTGTATTTATTTTACATATGAAGAAACAAGTTGTAAAGTTATTAAGAACAACATGTAAAATTTATCAGCTAGTGAGCAAAAGAATCTATATTTAAAAGCCGAATTAGTTTTTGGTTTCAAAGTTTAGCAAATATGCTCAAGAAACACTTGATTAAAATTCACTTTAAGATATTCCCTTACCACATAAGTTGGCCACACAACCTATAACTGAAGTAATTTATTTTCTAACTATAAAATAATATAACTTAGCTTTCTAGGAAGAAAGAGGGAAAATAGCATTTGCACAAATTAGAAATTACCATGGAAGTTACATAAAACCAAGTTTTTTAAAATAGGAAAACACAGATGAAGTTACATAAAACCAGATTTTTTTTTTTAAATAGGAAAACACAGATGATTAGTCAGGCCTCTTAATGCCTGAAAATAAAATGGTATTTAAGCACAATTCCCCTAACAAAGACCTGAAAAACTAAAAAGAAATCTACAGATAACATTGTTTAAATAATAATGTGGAATAAGAAATGATAACTGAAGGCCAAATAATTTCTCATGTGGCTTCTACTTTGTCTCACTAATTTCATTTAGTTAATTCAACCCTTTATTAAGAATTCCTTGCATTGAGCATAAATTAAAATGAACAGAAAGTTGAAATCTGAAACGCCTTATGAAAAGAAAAAGATTCAAGCTCTTGGCCCTATAGCATTTCATGTTAAGGAAGGAAAACTGTTTTCTGAAATGTCTCTATTTTAAGTAAAGCAATACATTTGTCACATAAAATTACAATCACCAAAGTTATAATTTGGCCATGTTGCTAAGTATATGGAGGGGGGAAAGTTGCTTCCTTTATATACCTTAAGGACTTTGTTCCTTCCCATAAACAAGACTGATGTTCAATGAGTATTGATTTAATTTGCAAACCTTTTAGTTGTCTTCTCCCCATTGGGATGCACTGACATATTTTTCATAGAAAAGAAAAATTGAGGTATTTATTTTGCCTTCTTCTACATCAGCCCTTCTACATGGAGCAAATGAGCAAAAGGTATGGGAGAGGTTGGAGGATGCATTTCATAATCACCTAGGGGATTTCTCAAACTGCATTTATCTCAAACATTGAGGTCTATGTCAAGAAAAACAACCATATGATGAAAATAACATGTTCCAATAACTTTGAGGCAGCAGTATGTGTGATAGAGGCAGGCTGCCTACATTAGAATCCTACTCTCCCACTGGCTAACTGTAGGACACCAGTCAAATCACTTAATTGTGACAAGTTTCTTCATTTTAAGATGGAGATAATGATAATAGAACCTAATGATATTGTTGTAAGGAATAAGAGACTTAATATATATGTGTTGACATAGGGTAAACACCAGGTTTATATATATGTTGACACGGGGTAAACACCAGGTAAGTGTTATGTTATTATTGCTGTGGATCTGAAATAAAGCAAATAACTTCATTTATGAAAATGAGCAGCAAGTTGAAAGGTTTCTTATGCTTGTGGTCAAGACAAATAGAATGCTGTCTGTTCCACCAGCTATGATAATGTTCTTAAATGAAGGAGGCTGGACACTTCTTGAAGCCAGGGATTATGTCAAAATACTTTGAATCTCAAGTGTCTAATCATGCCTTACATGTAGGAGTACTCAATACATGTTGAGTGAACATTAAACATTTTTTTAAAAAATAAACGAATGAACACATGGATTGACAGTTTTCAGAAGAAGAATGATAGTCATGTAGAGTGTGCTTAATATTTAAAATTAAATGCAAGTTCTTTTCAGAAGCTTCTTTCAAAACCTAAATCTACATCTTAGAATTGGTTCAGCAGTCCCCCCAAAAGGATTGATATAGTTCAAAGTATTGCAGTTTTCTATTTCGACTTCAAAGTGACAGTAAATACTTAAAGTCTCTTGAGTGAAAGAGGTTGTACTTGTATCACCTCTTGACTAATAAATAAGTCCTATCATCTTTTTTAAAGAGCCTATCTTGTTAAGAATTTTCATTTATATAAACACAGAGTTTTATTAGCTTGAATTGGTTGTAGATTTTTTTTTAAAACTAAGATTTAAGTAACGTACGACAAAGGCAACATTCCTCTTTTTGAAATTTTAAAAATACTTCAGAGTACATATTCTATTACCTATGTTTGTGTTTCAAAATTAACTATATATGGCATGTCTTTCCCTGGTATAGTATGTTTTTAATCTAGGAATCACCCAGAATTGATCTGTATAATTATTTTGTAATTCCAGTGCTTATAATATATTTGCATGATTTGTTTCTCAGAAATAACATGGGAGGTGGTATATAATCATTTCTTACCCTATTTGAGTCAATTCTTGCTCTGGAAGTATAGATGGGAGGTGGGATGTTGAAAGCCTGAGGGACCAGGTATTCCTCAGCATCCATCATATCTTCCAGGTCCTCTTCATCCAAGAGATTCTGAAAGAACTTGCTGTCATTTGGACTGGGAAGCTTCATGCGATCATCACCCTAAAAGTTTGCCCACCAGACAAACAAACAAACAAAGATTCTTCATCTTAAATATATGGACTTTGCAGCAAATTTATGTAAAATCAAAACAAGTGGTTGAAAATTCATGCACTCGTTTAAAAAATAACTGTTTAACACATTTACCAGTCACAAAGGAGCTTGTAACATACTTAGATATGACACGGTAAGATAAATACATTTAATAGAATGTGATAAATGCCATTCGAGGTAATTAAAGCAGTATGCTATGGCTCTTTTGAGGGAGGCATAATCTATTTCAGACGTGAGAATAACTGTATAGGCTTCATTGCCAAGATGTTGTTTGAGCTGTGACTTTAAGAGTATGTAATAAAGGGCAATTGACTTCTCAATCTTTACTGTATTTTATTTGGTTGGTTTGATAGGGTAGAGTTATCAGGACATGTAGGCTCCATGATTTTTTTTTAATGTTTATTTACTTTTGAGAGAGAGAGAGAGACAAAGCATGAGCAGAGGAGGGGCAGAGGGAGAGGGAAACAGAACCTGAAACAGGCTCCAGGCTCTGAGCTGTCATCACAGAGCCCGACACGGGGCTCGAACACCCAAAACACCAGATCATGACCTGAGCCAAAGTCAGATGCTTAACAGACCGAGCCACCCAGGTGCCCCCATGATTTATTCTATAGAATGACACTGTTAAAGTGATAGCTTTAAAAATCACAGCAAAAGTGGCAAATAATATAAACAAGGGTGGGAGAGACACCAAAACCCTACTCTTTTTTTTGCCTCCTATATTTCTTAAATATGATTTGTTTTATTTTTCAAAATTATGTGACATTTTGTATATAAGTGGTTTATGCAAGTTAATTTGGGAGAAAAATAACTAGGCACTATTAGATTCTAAATCCTGACTTTTATCTTCATGGCAGACTATTAATAGGAAGATAAATGCTACCTTGTTTCATTGAGGAAAATTAGTTCAGTGTAACCCAAGGTCCACTTGTTTATGATTTAGGCAAAATAATCATAGAGAAATATATTATAATTTTTAAATTATCCAATCCAGTGTTTCTAGTGTTTAACATAAAATGTTCTTTTGGACTGTTATTTGATTCATATGTACATCCATTCACTGGAATCTGAGTTATTGCTTGGATACTGTATATCTCCCTTAAAACAAAATATATTTATAAATATATTTTAGGAAATTGAATGCAATATACTGACACTTTTAATTCACTGTCTTAAAACCTGGACAAGATTAAAACAAAAATCCATCTTCCTTTTATTCTGAAAGGGAAGATTATAATAATGGACATGACTTAACGCATAATGTTAACAAAAAGCAGAGTGCTAGAAGGTTTATCTGAGGATAAGGACTTCTTATGTATATGGATAATCATAATTATCTGGCCATTCAATAGCAGAGGCACTTGAATACTAAGGCAAGATTCCTAGAAGGAGTTCTGACATCAACTAGAAACCTCTTTTCCATAAGTCATTTCACATGATATTCTGCTTAATCGATTTACGAATGGTGATTTACAAAGTTCCAGTGTCCAGATATGTACCAACCTGAATAACTAGATATCTTTGAGGGTCTCGAGCCATCCTCGAAAATTCAGCAGCCAGTTCCTTAAATTTAGGTCTACTGTCTGCATCAATCATCCAGCCTAGAAATTCACACACAGTAAGAGGGTCACTGTATCTATCCATAATTAGGAACAAGTAGGATGTAAATTTTATGAAAACATAGGCTGTTTGAAAAATACTGTTTTAGTGATAATGATCTAAAACAAAAACAAAGAAAGCTAAAGAAAGAAATAATCCAATAGGCAAGGTTCTATCTCAAGCAGTTTGTTGATGTTCATAAGTATATGTGAATAAGAGAAACTTTTTATTCTGTTGATCTAATTTAAAAGTAATTTTTCTTCTTATGAAACATAACCCTAGGCTAACTATAGGAACTTATAGAATCTCCTATATTTTTTCTTAAGTGGAGAGAAGGCTTCCTTTTTCTTTATTTCTTTTTTTTTAAATTTTTCTTGGATGGCTATAGAGGAGGTGATGGGGACATAATTTATTATTTTCTATTAGGAGTGACATAGAATACAAATTTTAGTTACAATGCAGTGCACCAGCACAGGGGAGGGGGTGGGGGTGGGGAAAGAAATAGAAAGCAACTTTCTCAAGCTGTTTTTTTTCCTGGTGGGGGAAAAAAAACAATGCAAAGTAATTGGTAATGTTTGTTCAGCACTAGCCATTAGCTTATCTAACTAGTAACCTTTGCAGCATAAAAATACTATCAGCAATTTTCAAGGTATGTATTATTATTTAGCTGGGAGTCTAGATAAAGTGGGTCTTATCTCCCCAGGCTCTGCTTAGCTGATGAGATCACAAGAATACAAGTACTAAGCTTTCCTTGATTTTCTTGCCAAGTGACCCTTTTCTTAGGTATTAAAACTCATAAAAGCAAGGTAAAACTCTCTATTAGGCAAAATCTGTTCCTGATTTCTCATTGTTTCATCAGAGTATCAAAATGAAGTATATAAATCATTTCTTATGCTACTTATGAGATCAAATTATATAATGTATGCATGTTTTTAAGGTTTTTTGCATAGATGACTACTGAAGATGCTTGATTCAATAAAGTTATAAAGTGAGTTTCTTTTTTCTGGGAGTTCAATTTTTATTCTTGTTCTGGGAAGTCTTTGGGTGTCATTTCATGTATCATTAATATCACCTGATTTTTTTCCCTCTCCTAATAAAGCTGCACTATATGCATCCATTTGCACACACACACACAAAATTGCTGTTGATACCAAGATGCTAATGAGAAAATAGGTGTTTCTGGAATTATTAGAACCTAAAAAGGTTAACTTCACCAGGAGGTATCCGTTTCTTTCTAACTAAATATTGAGTAAATAGAACTATGCTTAGAGAAAAGGGCATGCTGACCTGAACTGGAAGGCACATTTTTTATTTCTTTCCTCACTGTCAGAATGTATCACACATGTCATGAATATAAATCTGAGTAGACCTGGGTCCAAAGTCTCTTATTAATAAGATGCTTATTCACCTTCACCAGTTTGTTTCTTTGCTAACCCTGTGTAAATCGAAAGGGGAAAACCCCAGATTACACAAGAAAGATTGCTGAATGTTAATCTCACTTAAATTAACTAGGAAACTCCAGAGACTTCCTTAATTCTATTTAAATTAAGAGCCTAGGCTGCCAAAACATATTTATAATACGTATGCGTCTGGGGCATAGAAAGGAGGAAAAAAAAGTAAGAGCGTTTGATGTAAACAAATGATCAAATTGAAAAAAAAAGTAAACATTCATAATCTTTTTATTTGACTGTAGATTCATGTCTTCCTACTTTCCATTCTGTCCTGCTTATTTCCTGTTGACTAAAACTGGTAAACCTATTTCCATTTAATTCATTTTTTCAACTATCAGCTTCAAGCTTTCTTTCTTTATATCAGATCATTTGTTTAGACTGCTATTTTCCTATAAAGATTACTAACATTATTGTAACTAATTACATCTCTTTATGAAAGACAATGTGATTGTCATGGAAATGATAAGAATCAAAGTGAAATGAATCAGAAGAGAAAGAGTCATATAATTTTGACTTCATAACATGGAAGCATGATATTGCTTCCTATTCATAATAATCACAAAAACACAGGTGTTTACATGATGTTTTCATAATTATTTTTGGACTTTTACATTTTTCAATATACAAAAACATTATGCAGGTAGATTAATCTGTACTATTGCTTTACTAAGAGTGATGATGGTGATGATGAAATTATTTTGCAATCTTACATTTGACCATGACCATGTAAACGTCAATAGTGCAGATAGGAGGCTGGGGCAAACGTTCTCCTTTCTCTAATAAATCCGGGATTTCTCTGGTTGGAATTCCATCATAGGGTTTTCCTCCAAAGGTCATCAGTTCCCATATGGTAACTCCTAAATTGGAGATCAAATATTTACATAAGCATATTAACAACATACTTTGAATAAACCAGCAGTATGCCAGTGACAAAAGAAAGCTCCCTAGAAGGCAATCAAAATTAGACTAAAGAAAAGCTCTTCAGATTTCTATATTCATTAGCAGAAGCCCAGTGACAAAATCTTTGTGGGAAATTCCATTACCTTATTATTGTCTTGAAATTTTTAATGAGTAGCAGAGACAATTCAGAGTGCGTATCAGAACACAGAATCTTTTCCCCATGTCTACTTTTAAGTAATGTTAACATTTGCTGATTCTAGTTAATTTTCACTACACTGCATTAGAGTCTATCAAACAATTTACTATAAACATGTGTATCCAGTATTAAGTAAATATGATTGCAGGCAAAATCTGATGTTGACTAATTTTGACATTAACCTCTTTGCTATTAAAAGCCCTATGGGCTAAGCTGTGGTGCCAAAATGAATACCTTATGTTATGATAAATAATCATGGCTCTCTCTTTAACTCACACAAAGAGAACAAGTGGAAAACACACATACACACACACACACACACACACACACACACACACACAGATTTATTTCTTTAATACCTGTGAGACCCTGAGTGAGGAATGATCCATATATACCATAATACATGTGAAGTAGGCATCACAAAATTGAAAGGAATCAATAATAGTTGATCCCTTAGATAATGAAATCACCTTCTTGAATCACTAGAAGAGTGATTTGTTCTGTAAAAGCAAATACCCTAAATATTAACATGCAAATAGCTAGCATTGATGAAAATGATTCTGATTTGAACAATACTATACACATTACAGACCTCTTCTTTGTGATCTAATAATTATACAATTAAGAAGTTATCATTTCTTAAGGTTAAGGATTGTAAGTTCAGAAAGAGCTGTATGTGTATAGGAGTCTCACCAGGTGAATTTTGATTGGTGCATATAATATGCAAAATATGGTTTAATATAAAATCCATTAATTAGGACCATGCTTTCTTTTCCATGTCCATCTGTAATGAATTATTTATTCATTTTTAGTTCATAACAGTTATCATTGACTAATAATAAAAATACAAAGCTTAAAATATAAAAGTATATGTGAATAGCCAATTATCCTTTATAATAAGATCACTAATTACCTGATTTTTTTATTAATATTTATATCTTATAATTCTTATATAAAAATGTAATTAGCGACACAATTTAATTGATTGATCTTTATTAAACCCTACTTATGAGGCACCTGGGTGGCTCAGTCAGTTGAGTGACTCTTGGTTTTGGTTCAAATCATGATCTCATGGGTTTGTGAGATCGAGCTCCATGTAAGGCTCCATGCTGTCAGCATGAAGCCTGCTTGGGATTCCCTCTCTCTCTCTCTCTCTCTGTCCCTCTGTCTCTCTCTTCCCTTCCCCTGCTCTCTCTCTCTCTCTCTCTCTCTCTCTCTCAAAATAAACAAATAAATAAACTTAATTTTTTAAAAATCCTACTTAATTTTGCATATTAAAAAATGACTTCCTAGAGCCAATAATTAAGATTCAGTGTCCATGAGGCAGACTGGAACAAGTTAAGAACTGGATGGCTGTCCATTTCTATTCAGTCAGTCAATATAAATACACATTTATAGAATATATATTTAATGAGGACATTTTATGAACTTATGTATGCAATTATAAAAGACAGAATACATGCCCTGATATCTCTATCAGAACTTACAAGAAAAATGCAAAGCAATTACAAATCAAAATAATAGAAAATACAATAAACAGAAACATAAATACAAAAACAAAATCAGGAACATCAAAACCCCTACTTCTGCCAGTAATAATTTAATTAAATCTTTTTAGGAGTGACAAGATAGGGTTAAACAGAGATGGCTTCATGCAGAAGGACAATTACAGGAAAACTGAATCAGAAACATTCTCAAAACATACAATTCTATCATTCAGAGATATAAACCATAGCCAATGCATATTTATTTTTGTAAAAATAAAGATGAACCCAGTGGCAATTTTCTACAAAGGTTCACTGTAAACAACATTATGTTTCTGTCTTGTATACCTATTGCAATCAACTATAATATATCATAAAAATCCTAAAATGCCTTATGGGTATGGATTGATGACCTGGGCTATATTTCAAAGCAGAGTACTACTTATCTATCTATCTATCTATCTATCTATCTATCTATCATCTATCTGCCTACTTACTTATTTTAGAGGCCATTTAAAATTTGACTGTAGTAGACTGTTACATTTATTTCAGGGAAACATACATAGGAAAAAGGGAAAAGAAAAACAAAAAAGTATATGACATATATCAAAATGTATGTGTAATATATAATCTATCATATAAAATATAATCTATGGATTTATCTCTATCATATAATATATAAGCTAATTTGTACCATATAATATATATAATAGATTTATGTTTCTATTAAGTCCTTACAGTTCAACAACTAAATTTTACAAGCATTTTCCTATACTTGTTCAAATCTCAAACACATCACACTTTCTACTTCTAAGCTGAGTAGAACACATGAGGCCTTACATGGAAATTTTAAACCTATAGCATACATGTATAGAGGAGGAAAAAAACACTTTAAAGAAATGTCTTATTTTTATTTTACTTTTATTTATTTATTTTTTTAATTTTTTTTTCAACGTTTATTTATTTTTGGGACAGAGAGAGACAGAGCATGAACGGGGGAGGGGCAGAGAGAGGGAGACACAGAATCAGAAACAGGCTCCAGGCTCTGAGCCATCAGCCCAGAGCCCCACGCGGGGCTCGAACTCCCGGACCGTGAGATCGTGACCTGGCTGAAGTCGGACGCTTAACTGACTGCGCCACCCAGGTGCCCCTACTTTTATTTTTTAAAATATTTATTTTTGAGAGAGAGAGATGAGAGAGAGAGAGAGAGAGAGAGAGAGAGAGAGAGAGAGAGAGAGCATGCGCGAGCGCCAACGGGGGAAGGGCAGAGAGAGAGGGAGACAGAGAATCTGAAGCAAACTCTAGGCTCTGAGCTGTCAGCACAGAGACCAAGATGGAGCTCAAACCCATGGACCTAGAGATCACGACCTGAGCCAAAGTAGGAGGCTTAACCAACTGAACCACCCAAGAGACTCTTAAGTTTTTTTTAAAGATAATTTGTGCTTTTCTAGATAAGAGGTGTAAGTTCTTTAATGATTGAATAGCCTAAATCTTTTGCCTAAAAAAACAATAATAAAGATAAAGCAAAGTTTAAATTTGAGTGAACTAAATTGTATCATGCTTTCAAGACCCACCACTCCCTTTTTCCTTAAATGGACATTGTGCTTTTAATTTGTAAGAAATACCGGTTTTATTTAAACTTAGAAAAGCTATTGATTCATTCTCATTAATATCTGGGTGGACTTAGGTTGTGAATAGACAGATGCTAAATATCTCATTTCAATAATTAAATTAAATGCATTACATGAATGTTCTAAGTTTAAAGACCACTCTTTTCCAGTTCATATTATTCACTCTCTAATATGTCTGTTTATTCCAAAGTAATTTGTAAATTAAAATCAAAGGTGCGATTAGCAATCTTCTCATATCTCTCCCCTCACATTTAGTGCTTTCACCTATTTGCTTTCAGTAATTGTTCTTTGTTACAATAACTTCTTTCTTATTATAGAACAGACATTCTTTCATTTTTAACATGTTTTCAAAGAGTTTTTGATAATTAAGGCCATGAGGTTCTATGACATTGTTCCTAAAGTTGACTTTTTTTTTTCCTGTCAAAATGATCACAAAAGTTGCTACCAAACCAAAGATTATGGTAGACAACTCAACTGAGATATTAACATATTACATTTTAGAGAATGAAGGAATAAAAAAAAAAGGCAGATAACAATATTATTTGGAGTTTTTTTTTTTTTTATGGAATAGCAAAGAGTTAATTCCTTTAAGAAACAAGGCTTATAAGTATTTCCAACACAATAAAATAAGTTGGTTTAAGATATTTCACATGAACCTAATATATTTAATTTTGCCTTAAAACCCTTAATTCACAAGGAAGATTTATTTACCATAACTCCAAACATCACTCTGATGGGTGAACTTCCTGTAGTGTATACACTCCAGAGCCATCCATTTAATTGGCATCTGAGAAATAAAAAGAGAAATAAAAAGTTAACTTTTTATAGTTATATAAAAATTCATTTCTATAGTCATTTCTCAAACTATGAGCTTCTAGGCTTGCCTCAGTTGTATTTTTTGATTGTGTGTATAGAAAATATAAATATAATAATAATAATAATAATAATAATAATAAATGTTATTTTTAAACTTTATTTATTGTTTAATTTACAACCAACTTAGCATATGGTGCAACATTGATTTCAGGAATAGATTCCTTAATGCTTCTTATCCATTTAGCCCATCCCCCCTCCCACAACCCCTCCAGCAACCCTCTGTTTGTTCTCTATATTTAAGAGCCTTTTATATTTTTCCCCCTCTCTGTTTTTATATTTTTTCCTTCCCTTCCCTTATGTTCATCTGTTTTGTATCTTAAATTCCTCATATGAGTTAAGTCATGATATTTGTCTTTCTCTGGCTAATTTCACTAGCATAATGCCCTCCAGTTCCATCCACATTGTTGCAAACGGCAAGATTTCATTCTTTTTGATTGCCGAATAATACTCCATTATATATATATATATATATATATATACCACATCTTCTTTATCCATTCATCCACTGATGGACATTTGGGTTCTTTCCATACTTTGGCTATTGTCGATAGCGCTGCGATAAACATTGGGGTGCATGTACCCCTTCGAAACTGCACACCTGTATCCCTTGGATAAATACCTAGTAGTGCAAATTCTGGGTCGTAGGGTAGTTCTATTTTTAATATTTTGAGGAACCTCCATACTGTTTTCCAGAGTGGCTGTATCAGTTTGCATTCCCACCAGCAGTACTTAATAATAAATGTTATTTTTTAATACAGGGAACAATGAATTGAAATTTATAAAATTCTAAAAGTGAAATAACCTAAAGATATATTTTTAAAAGCTTCAAAAACAATGACAAGTAAAAGAATAAAATAAGTATCATTTTCTCTATTTCTTAATGTTCAGCAATTAATTCAGTTACTAGTTATTATGACTCTCAATACTACTCTAAACATCTAAGATATGTGCTTCTAAAAATATGGTCTATTACATTTTTGCCCCCAAAATGAGGCTCCTTACATTTTCAGTTATCCCTTCAGAACATTTCTGACCACCAGTACAATGGACTCTTTCTACACTTGCCCTTTCCTTTTTCCTCTCATATAATCTGGTCACTTAAAACACCCACAATAATGTATTCCAAAGTTAGGCTTGCTTTATTCCCCAGCCACAAATGGTCTCCCTTGTTTTGGTTAGCCAGTATTGAAAATACATACCAAAATAGGTATTATATAAAAGGATACGAGAGGATCAGTACCAATCTATTACCACTACAAGAAAAACAACTCACATACCCTGCTGATGATGGGTCAGCAGAGTAAGTTTCAACTAGGAAGGGCAGCATTATATAGCTGAAAATATAATTAGGTTCTACAGAATAAAGATAAACACTTCTACTTTGCAGTTGAAAGCTTAAAACTAAATAGGCCTTTGAAATCATGAGGTTCGCTGCTCACCAAGGTGACATCAAGGTAACTCTATGACAGAATCATGGCATTCAGTGAAAGGGAACAGAAGACACATTGAAAGTAATTTCCCTATGGGCAAGGAGTTAGCTGACTTTATGGACTACGGACATTGTGTTAAAGAAGTAAGTTTAAATCACAGGTTGCTTGATAAAGACTTAATGGTAACTAGGCATTTAAAGCTATAATGAATCTTGCTTTAGACAAATCCTACAGCTGTATGTTCTTAAGACAAGTCAAGTCATGTGATTTATGGAGTTCTACTGTGCAATCTTGTAGTGAATTTCAAAGCTGTGGTCTCAAACTGCTGCAATTTGGTAGTAAACAGGCAAAATAGTCTAATAAAATCAAGGAAAGGTCAGGAAATACTACAAACCTTAAGTTTTTTAAAATTTTATTTTCTTTTGTCTTGTGATAAGATTTGAAGATATATAGTTATATAAGATATCATACAAAGTTATATAAAAATCATATACTACATGATACATAAAATCAATGCTAAGCATTTGAAAGCATTGCAAAATATTTATAACATATATTTGGATGGCTCATGATAAATAAGGCACATGATAAATATATTTATATGACACTTTAATAACTTTTTTTGTTAGCAGGAGTTTATACATAGGTTAAGGTTGCATTTGCTTATTTCATTTGGCCTCTCCTGGTCCAAGTTTTGCCATATAAGCTAGGGGGACCTCCAGATGGAGAAGAGATATCCTCACTGTATAGCCAAGGCCAGCAATCTTAGCATCAGGTTAATGAGAAAAACAAGAGCCGGAACTAAGGCATGAGCCGGGACCATATGGCAGGAATACAGTTGTCAGGCAGGGCCTGAGACTAGAGAGTCAGAAAAGTAGAAGAGGCAATGGCACTGTTAAGATTCCTGGGACATAGCAGGCTGCATTCTGGTGGAGAGAATCAAAAAATAAATAAAGTAAATTGGTCAATCATATTCTATGATAAAAGCTTAAAAAAATACAACCATATTAAGAGGAATCTGTTGTACCTGGTATAGGAGGATTCAAAGTTAAATAGGATGATGAACTTTCCAGTGAGTTATGGTTCTTGGTACTAGCCAGGTTACTATGAAAGAATAGTTGGGTCTCTCTGTAGTAGCTAGCCCTGCGTTCTTAGGATCAATGAAATAATGTCTATGGCCCTTAAGTGTAATATCTGGATTTCCGAAGGATCCACCTACTTCCCACACTGGATGTGACATAAGGACCACTAGAGATTAATTGTCTTATTTTGGCTACTTTTGAGAAATGGAAGTTGGTTCATATATATACATTTGACCCTGGGTGGGAGAGAAGGCAAATGGTAGAGTTGAGATTTTATAATCTCTTAACCTCAGGCTTATTGACTTCTTCTTATAACATATAAGGAGATAAAAGGATATCATACTATATTTTCAAGCAATATTGTTCTAAAAAGATACCCACCTTTCCTCCATCAGCATTATACTCTTTTTCATCTCCTTCTAAGAGCCTAGCTAGTCCAAAATCTGTGATTTTCACATGGTTTGGAGATTTCACTAAGACATTTCGGGCTGCCAAATCCCGATGAACAAGCCGTCTTTCCTCCAGGTACATCATTCCCTGAAAAACACCAAGTTCCAAAAAGACAGTTAATGCCTAGGCTTTTCTATTGTCTAAAAAGTAGTTCCTTGGCCTTCAGTTGCAAGTGCTTGATTTCTCTTAGTGAAGCCAGAATCCTGGAATATTTTTCAAAATTACGAAAAACCCAATAAAGGGATAAAAAAGCAAATGGCAAATAGCTTTTGGTCTTTTCCCCTAAAGTCCTGTAAAGAATGAATTACCTGCATATGAACTAAATGTTAGATCATTTTTTCCCCCAAAGGTTTTGTACTCTCTTGCAAACACTTTCATCAGTGAAGTGTGCGTGCGTCTCAGCAGATAAGCTAAGAGACCCACACGTTTCTAGTTGTTTTCTTCTCAATAACTCCTGCTTGATGTCACTCTCCCCTTACACCCCTTCTCCAAACAAACACACCAACCGTAATTAAAAAAAAAAACCCAAAAACTTCATATGCAGGTTTAATGGCACCAAAATCACCATCATAGTTTCTATCAAAGCTGAAGAATTAATTATATTATTCTTATTAATTAGGCAAAAAATGAATTATACCCCAGAGGCATGAAAAGCCTATACTTTTTTAAAATGGTGTCAATGACAATAGTAGTCATTAGAACAACCTGCAAGTGAAATTACATTGTTTATAGTGACCCTGATATTAGCCTTTAATATGTTTTCTTCAAAAAACATATAGGGTTATTAAAATAAAATTCATTACTGATTGCCAACAATTTACATATATCCATATATATTCATATGGGGATATATATCTCTCCATAATTCATAAAAGCAATAAATAAAATTGTACTTTGCCAGTAAATAAACTAAGAGCCATTAAACATTAGCCTTAACTAAAGGTTGATGAAAAGAAGCAAACTCAGAAGCCTAGATGGGAGCGAACATATTTTTATTCAAGTGTTAGAGGAAATTCTGTATTTGAGGATTTCAGTGGTAAAAAACATTGTCGCTTAAAAACAAATCAGAATTATTATAAAATCATTAAAGCATACTCTCATGCCAATTCCAAATCAAAGCTGTTGGTAGTTAATATCACAATTGCAGGACTTTGAAGGATTAATGGTTTTTGATATCAAAACAAAAGCTGCGGAAAACAGACACATAAATCACACAGGTAAAAAAAAATGAACCATATACTCAGTGTAGTGTAAAGAGAAGATTGCTTCAAACAGCATCATGAGCCAAACACTATACTATAAATGCCCATTAAACACAACCAGTGGACGTACTGCCTGATATGGTCCAACTGGTCAGTAGTGTATTTGTGTTTTCTGAAATCAGTCCTCAACTGAGATTTATAAGGTTTCGTCCTCTTTCCTAAACAGTGTTTTCTCTTCGATTATGCCAACTAATAAATTCCTAGAATAAAATGAATCTGAAAACATATAACCCTTATATGACTAAGGGATCAAAAAAAATAGATTTATTGTCTTGGAGATAAAGTATTTTTAATTATTTGCCCTTTTAAGAAATGTCCACAAAAACATTCATCATTATCTTTCCTACCACTTTCATATCAGAATATGGAAATTGTGTTTGCAACAAGTTAATATTCAGATCCACACACAATGACAGAATATACACTATGTTCCAGGCACTGTGCTAGACATCAGGGAACAAAAAAAGAGTCAGAGAAGATCTATTCATTGCAGGAAGACACAGCTGTTAATAAAGTGGGCAGACGTGGAATACAGGCTTGAACGGATCAATGCGACACGTGTAAGGCATTTAAGGAGAGCTGTGTTTTGAGGACCATTTGTAGTATAGCCTAGAAATACGCAAGAGGGAGCCTTCAGAGAGGTCCTGAGGCCTAAGTAATGTTTGAATGATGTCCATCAGTTGGGCAAGATGAGGACAAAATTGCAGTTACAGAGAACACACACAGGGGCACCAATACCATGGTGTACTGGGACAAAGGTACGTAATTCTGTATTTCTAAATCATTATTCATAAAGGAGGGAGAGTGATGAGTGGTGAGGCTGACAAAGTAAGAAGAGGCTTGATTCAAAAAGGGCCTCTTACGTGTTGTGGTAGATAATCTGCACTTCACTGTGGTGATGCAGAGGTTGTTTGAAAAAGGAGAGTGACACAGTGATCATTGGAGTCTTGCAAAAAAACCACCTGGTGTATAAACAAAGGGCTGGACACAAATACAGCAGAAGTCAGGAGCCACTGCCACAATGCAGAAGAGAAGTGATGAGGTGGAAAAGGATGAGAGATAAAGTTTGCAGACTGGCAGTCTGAGCTATATCCAGCTTATATGCAGTTTATATGCATATATATTTTTGGCCCACACACTGGGAAACTCTCAAACATCCTCTTTAGCTGATTACTGGCTGTACCCCATTGAGGGCACCTCCAGTTGGCCAGGATCCCACCACTCACTATTACTACCCACGAATTCATTTATGATATTCGTCTAGCTCCTCATGTATGATCATCTGAATCTTCAACTAAACTAGTCCACAAGAAATTTCATGGAGAGAACAATTTCAAGTTACACTTATACAGCAAAGTAACCATCCTGGTAATTGAATAATGAAGAGGAGTATAAATTACAAATGATTCTATTTTCTGACTTTTGTAATTTAGGTGGATAATAATTCCTTTAACTAAATATTATCCTAATGCAAATACGCATATATTTCTTCACCATGTGCAAGAATAGTGATATATTCTATACCAATAGGGAGCTAACATTCACCAAGAAGCTTAAGACCCTAATGACATATCCATATTACAAGCAAAACTTCAAAAACTCCATATGTTCTTTGATATTCTATATGCCAAGTCTTAGCAGGTGATAGACTATCCTGAACCTCTGAACCTCAATTCTATTTGTCTTAAAAAAAATGTTTTCTTCAACATAATGAAAACTCAATTCAGGCAACCAGATGGTAATTTATGTATAGTTTCACTCACCTGGCCATGATTAAAAGATAAAAACAGAAGCATCTATATCATTACCAAATCATCAAAATACATTTGTATGGTTGCTTTGTAACTATGCAACATCATGGTTATGACTGCTTTTAGATCATTAATTATGACTGCTACCTTAGTTCTACTTTCACACCTGAATTAGAGTGTTCAATCGTCTATTGGATTGTTCATGATAGTTTTCTCCACATTGCAATTATTAAGATCGGATTTTCTTGGTGGATGATTTCATTAGAATCACAGTCTCTGTTAGATTCCTTCAAAATAAAATCACTCCTTAAATCGGAGCGTGATGCAATTAAGGAGGCAGTTATTAGAAATAGCAGTGACAAAAATAAACTGGATGAAGTCCCTTGAAGTTTGAAGATGATTAAAAAAGAAGGGCCATTCATTATCACTGAAGGGATAATGCTGCATTGGTTGAAAAGAAACTTACTCTTACTTGTAGCAATTCCCATGTCCGTGCCATGTCTGCCTGGGTGGAGTACATTATGGGAATATGAACACTGACAATAATGACAGCTAACATTGACTGAATACTCAGAACACAGCAGAACGAAATGCTTCTACATTGGCAGGTTAACTTAATCCTCTGAGAAGCGTACTGTTTTCATCCCATTTTTTAAAAAAATTTTTTTTTAACGTTTATTTATTTTTGAGACAGAGACAGAGCATGAACGGGGGAGGGTCAGAGAGAGGGAGACACAGAATTTGAAACAGGCCCCGAGCTCTGAGCTGTCAGCACAGAGCCCGACGCAGGGCTCGAACTCACAGACTGTGAGATCATGACCTGAGTTGAAGCCGGACGCTCAACCAACTGAGCCACCCAGGCGCCCCTCATCCCATTTTAAATACGAGAAAACCAAGTCTCAGAGAGGTCAAGTTACTTCCTCCAAGTCATCTAAGGAGTGACAGAACTGGGATTTGGTTCCTGTGGGGTTCTAAAGTCTGCATTTTTAAGCCTACCCCCTCTCTTGGTGGGTTACAGGGTTGTGTGAGCATGAAGAAATTAATGTACACAATGAAGTCATACGGCTTTAGAAGATCCTAGTTCTTTTGGAACAAAATATTATAAGAGATTTCTGTGAATTTCAGGGAATAATGCAAGTGACTGACTTGTATTTTTATTTAAAATTCAGCTAAATTATAGAACCTTTTTCTTATTTAGTGGGAATTTGAATCATATAAATTGGAAACTTAATTATTGCTTTGACTACAGGATATGAAGGATGGTGGAGTTGGTCTGAGTGCAGATTCTGGGATCAATCACTTGGATTGAACCCCAACTCTGCCATGTTCTAGCTGTGTGATGCTGACAAGTTAATTAACCTGGCACTCACCTTCATCTCTAAAATGGCCATAATAGCACCTATACCACAGATTGTTGTAAAGATAAAATGAGTTAATATATGTAAGGAGCTTAAATTGTAACTCCCATATAGTAAGTGCAGGGCATGCAAGCTTTTATTACTGTTCTACAGATAAATATCAACAGTCATAGTGTGAACAAGAATAACTTACCCTCATTAACTTGAATTGCTTATTTCAGAAAATCTGTGAATCCCAACTAGTATATCACAGTAGGCGTTCAATAAATGTTTACAAATGGTGATATATATACCCACAACCAATCCATCATGATTAATGCGTGGATACAAATCCCAAATAATTACTGTTCAAAGTATTATTTTAGTAATGATTCACCTGAGGATGTTGTCATATAAAGAGAAGAAAAAAATAGGGAATCTACTAAGAGATTTGGTGCCCTCCATGAATACATCACAGAATTAGGATCTTAGTGAAGTTAAAGGTAATTAATAAGATAGGTTGGAGAGTTTTCAATGTTGCAGGAAGGGTGAATAAAATAGTACACTTGTACCAGACTGTGTGTCTTTTATCAGCACTGACGGGAGTTTTCTGTAGACATGTTTTAGGGGCATTTTGTCTACTTCTAGATCCAGGTGCTATAAGTCTGATTTTTACTCAAACTATTCAGAATTTACCATTATCCAAACCATTCAGTATTTTACCATTTTTCATACTT